TTAGGAAGGGAAAGAGTTACGGGCCGTGATAGATTTTGATGGATGGCATTTCAAGAACAAAATTGTATACTTTAGTTTAATTTCGTCATTAATCCCAATTATGTAAACTTTAATCCAATTAATATTAATGTATCTGACCTAGCTATTTCCTTTCTAAACCCATAACCTGATAAGTGATAACCTTCATCTATCCATTGCAAAGACGTTCTACCTGTTGTACCAACTAAATGTTAGACAGCTGTGGCGGCCAGCACCGAAAACACTTTCGGTGGTTTTTTAATTTAAAATTAAAAGCGGGTCCCACATGATAATAAAATAATATTAAAAGTTTAGGAGAAATTACGAAAATGCCATTGGGACTTTCCTATAAATAGGGAAGCTGAAAATCATAATTTTCATCCCAAATCTTCTTCTCTTCTCTCTTCCTCTCTTATACACCTTGAGATCTGTTCTCGGTAGTAGTAGTCTCCTAATAGAAAGGAGTAAGTTATAGAGAGAGAAGTGTTGTAATTTCCTCCCTTTCAGTAAATAATATTTTTACTGTGGTTATTTTCTCCCTTGTCTCTTTTTTACTCATCTCTTATTTTAGCTGTGAGTAACTATTAAGCCTACTCTGGACCTAACACTAAATACATGGATGAACAAAAAAATACAACACCAAAATTCGCGGTTCAAAGACACGTACGTAATCCTATAGCTTTCTGCAACCATCAGATTGTTATAGTGAATGGTACTAAACATCAGATATAAAAAAAATTGCGGTGATGGTTTCTTAAATGCATGCCTTGTTATATCTATCCACTCAGAGTCACATCTATATCTATGAAACTCACACGGAAAATTGTCTTGTGTATAGTCCAGGTGCCACGCTTTCATATAACACTGACACAGCCACAAAAATCTGTCACGTAAATAAGTGATGGCTAGCTAGGACCGCAGGGTAGGTCATCTTCCCACTAATTCATTTAGTTAAGTCTCATTCATTATCATCATCATGTCACCATATATGCTCCTATATCTAAAGTCTTTTTGATATAAAAGAAACCCATGTGGCCATATCAAATTCTTCAGTCACCATAAATGGAAGCTGCAAGTGAGGGTAGCACTTAATTCAAGATATATAATTACAGTGCAATAGGAAGGAAGAGTTGAGTATGTCCCTTAATGTGGCACGTGCGTCCCATGTTAGTTCCCTTTAAAAGTGACCATTTTCAGGTGCTGCTTCATCATGAAAAATACTACAACCATAAAATTGTAGCACCTTCTTTAGGTATACCATATGCTGGATCAACAAATGAATTCATGTATTGAGAGGTGTTATATATACACACACAAATTACACCGTAGAATATATACGGCATCTATTTCCCAAAATCAAGTGGTGCATGAGAATGTGTAGAATATTACATTACTTGTGTAGGGTCCAAATCCAACATACCAGAAATCAAAGGCTAGCTAGCATGTACCCCTAGTCAGTTGGGGTAATCATGATGTTTATTTATCATTTCTCAATTGAAAATTACGACAACTAATTAATTATCCAATAAACTTAAGCTTTTTGGTAGGTGAACGTATGTGAATGATTTTTATATTTTATATTTACAAACCTCTCGTGTAATTTTTTTTTTTTTGAATTTGAAGTGTGTATGATACATAAACGATAGCCTACTATCTTTTCACTAAAATTCGATTTTTTATTAATAGAACGAGGATGTCATCGATCGAGCTTTATTAGATCATTTGATTGTAGAGGCTTTCGATATTATATCTCATAACTCATAAGTTCTGTTCAGTACTAGTCATGTGGAATATTCAAACAGAATTTCTACATGTTCTCGTGGCCCAACTAACTGTGAGGGAATATATATATTTCAAGGATCCCAACACACTTAAATCTGCACTAGGATATGAATAAGATGTAAAAATTAAAAAGAGGAACTTCAGGATTTTGGTCTTCTTTGGCTTATTATACTGTTTTTGATTAGGTTATTGTTAATGGGTAAGAGTGAATGATACTCACAAATTTAGATAGAGTTTGATATTATAAATAGTGTATAAGTGAAAAAGTTCATAAATTTAATATCTTAAGGTTGTGAATTAACATCTTGTATTAAATTCATTTGTATAATTTGTTCATATATCCTGTCACATAAAGATTTCTTCGGTGTTTAACTCTTAAAAAGGGGATTGTTTCATATAAGTATCAGACTATAGAATTGGTGATAAATTTATATTTGAAAAAAATTGTTAAATTGGACCTAAATTCTTTAAAGAAGTCTAAATTTAATTGAATGATTTTTATATTATACATGTCTAACAAAAATAACGCTGGCCTCATTGAACTTGTGAAGTAAGTAGTCTCATATTTTGCTCAAAGGCAGTAAAATAATAAGAGAAATTGTCAAAAAAGTTAGGTACAGAAAATTGGAACCTTGTCCTTTAAAGTGTGAAGTTAATACCGATTATTGTCAATAATCGAGTTGCATAGTTGAGGTACAGTAGTGTTGCATATAAAAAAGGCACGGAAGCTATTATTATGATTTCATTTATAATTGGCACTCATACTCAAACCAGAAACCAAGCCTAAATCCTTCTCTGCAAACCCAACAACTAGTATAGTTCCAACCAAACAAGATGGTTAATGCTAAATCCGATGTACCCCAGAAGAGTGTCCTTCAAATCAAGCAAGATGACAAATTCTTCTGCAGGCTACTTTCAAAGGAAAGTTCCATGTCCAACCCATCTTTCAGAATAGCCCTTGCAGTGCCATTTGTGTGGGAATCTCAGCCAGGAACCCCTAAGTACACATTCTCTGAGGACACTCTCCCTCCTCTAACTCCTCCACCTCCTTTTCACATGAACACTATCAATGCCTTAAAAAAGAAAGAGAAGAAACGCTCAAAGTCCAACATATTGCTGACCATGCTACCAAAGCTGAACCTCAAGAAGATGATTTTGTCATCTTCATACCCTTCATGGTCATCATCATCAAGCTCCTCCAAAGTTGTCCCTATGGCCAAGTTTGGCAAGAAGAAGCTCTTAGGCTATGGATCATCTAATGATAATGATCAAGGAGGTGGTTCTAGTTCACCCTCTTCCAAATTGTGCTTTACCGTTCCTCGTGCCACTAGTTCAGACAGCAGGTTCTGAATAAGTATCTAAGGTAATTAAGACTTGTCATAATTATAGCTTGGCCTTGGATCTGGAGTGGACAGCTAATGTGCTGCTTATAGTTTTTCTTTGTAAATCTTTCTAGCTATACTCTTCATGTTTAGAGGATAATGTATTTTATATGCTAGAATTATATTGGTCTTGAGAGTTTTGTCCTCTCAAATAACAAGCTTGCTTCCAAGGTGTGTGATAGTGTATCTTGAACATTCTGTGTAGTTTGAACCGATCATAGTTCCTTTTTTTCTTTTTTATTTGCTTAGAATGTGCCAAAAAGAGAATCGAGTATATTACTCTGTAGAACTTCATATTGAGCAAGAAATGTGGTATTGTTTCTTGTTATTGTAGAGGTGGTGATAAACTGATTACTAACACACATAATAAAGGTGATTAAGAGAACATTTAGAGTAGAAAGTTTACTAATTCTTTAACAGATGGACGCGCTTTAAGCATTTGATTGACATGTACAATACACTACACTTTTACTTGGGGCTAGGGGAAGGAGAATCAAACACCTTAATCAGCATCTTTGACTAATGCTTTATCTTTTCACCAATACTGTTACTATAGAGACAGTTTGCTTTGTCTGTCTTAATGATTTTATTTATTGCAAAGAGAAGAACTGGTGGATATTACTTTAACTGGTGGAAATTGCAGAAAGAAAATGTTGCAATAATTTTCCAAATTCAGGATATGCACAATTATTTACAAAATGGCACTTATAAATGGCCTATTAAGTTGAAGTGATAATCATGGTATCAATATGGCATGAATGGCTTGACGGGTAGCTGCAACAATTGAAATCACTTAGAGAGTTTGTTTCCTTTTCCACTGGCCTTAATGGCTTGTTGCTGTGTCGTGTTGGTAAAGGAAGATTACATAACTTTAGGTTTCCCTTTGGTTCAACATTTCCCTTGTGTCACGGTCACGGATTCTTCTTATTCAAACCATCAACTCGTGAAGGGACATATCTTCAGTTTATACAATTATTAAAGAAATGGAAAGCTATTTGCACACTACTTAACACCAATCAAATACATCAGATAAGAAAACAGTAACTACTTTTCTATTTTGTATATTTACTTTAAAGAAGCGTAACTAGAAGAAGAACAAGTCGTTACCAATTTTACAATGTGTATTATCACATGGTTCAAACAAATGAAAAATAATTAGTTACCAATAACATCTCTGTACCGACATTTTATTTTAATATGATGCAATATCACATTGCCAGAACAAGAGATTGGATTTTGGGGATACCAAACAACTTTTGAAAAAAAATATGTTCGAACTTGCTTAAGCTAATTTGTCGGCAGAGAAGCTGTTAGTGACTTTAGCTTGTCCCGGATTCCATGTGCATATGGGCCATATATTGTATAGTATATTAGTAACACAAATAACTATTAACTAATAACCGTGACACTTCCATAATAATTCTAGAAAAGGAAAGGGAATATTATAATTAAATGGTCCTTATGATTTTCCAGTGATCGAAGAAGATTGCTGAGAAGTCATCAACCCCAATTTCAGATTTTTCTTTTCCCTATTCACCCAACAAAAGAAGTAGAATAGTCTTTTCCCTTTGTTTGTTTCGATCAGTTAAATTGCTACACACACGACTACCCTGACTTTCATCTCCATTATATGTGATTGTTGTTCATATTCATTTTTTTTTATGTACTTAGCAAGTTAAGTTCTATATATTATCTTGGCCTAACCAACTGAAGATTTTATTGGAGACAAGGGAAAAAAAAAATAGACCAACTTGGAAAAGAAAATCAGTGTCACAAGCTGTTTCAACTTTCAAGTTAAGATGCACAAATATTTTTTCAAGGAATAAGTAATTCTGCTATTTCATTCATCACTTAATATGTAGCTGTGTTTACAAATTAAATTTTTACAACAATATCCTCGATTGTCCAAACATATTGACATGAATATGTACACCAAATTGGTAGTATTTTGTATGTCAGGTACATAGATGATTACAAAAGGGAAAAATTGGTTGGGTATCCTATGATCAGAATAAGGTACAAAAGGACTATTAATGCTAAATGTAACATGATCTTAAGACTTCTTCATCGATTCTGGTCACCTGATGTATTGCATTTGCCAAATAATCCACATTGCCTGTGGTCACACCTGCCATGCTGCAAATACATCAAGTAGTTATATAGGAAGAATATTCTCTAGTGCAGTCAAAATTATCAAATTAACAAAGGAAGAGAAAACAAATTGAGATTTTAATTATAGTAACTGGTTGAATTGTTGGTATTTCCTTTAAACTATACCTTATTCTTCCATCAGGAGTCATGTATATATGGAACAGCTTTTCCAGCTGTTTAACCTGATCAAGGGTTAATCCAGAAAAACAGAACATGCCAACCTGCATTTGAATATGCACTGAAGTGAACAATGTGCTCATGATGTAATATGATTCCTCAAGCATAAGGTAACCGCATACATAAATTACAAAATCAAACATTCAAAACCTGGGCAGTTATATGCTCCCAGTTGAAAGATGAATCCAATTTTTCAAGAGAATGCCGCAAGGTAGTACGCATAGTCTGAATCCGTTTAGCCATGACCTTCAAACACAGCATGAATCAAACGTGATTAGATCCCAAATCAACTTAGAAAGTGAAAGGTAGAAAAAGAGTTAAGAAGCTGAATAGTACATTTATCTCTTTCCTCCAAAGTGCTTCTATATCTGGATTGCTTAATATCATTGTAACTAGTGAAATACCATGAAAAGGAATGCTGCTATACATTGCATGGGACATCAGCTGCAGTTGGCTTTTTAATGCAGCTACTTGCTTTATACTCTGGCACAAAACACTAGTGTAAAATTTAATGCAGATTAGTAATGAAAATAACAAAAAGAAGCAAAATAGTAAAACATAATGGCAACATTATTACAAAATTGAGCTTCATGTCATATCATAATTTCATGTACTTGACATCTGGGATATATTTGTGTTGGGATTCATCCCAAGTCCCACATCGGTAAAATGAAGGAACATTGGCTAGTTTATAAGGGTGTCTACCATTCCATATAGTATGAGGCCTTTTGGGAAGGAGCCCAAAAACAAAACCGTGCGGGCCTAGCCCAAAGCGGACAATATCATACTATGGTGGAGGAACATGTGGACTATCGGGCCCTACAATTTGACATCTAACTTCTATTTTACATATCATAGCATATGCTGTGTCTCTAAATCTCTAATTACGGGAATATAGGACCTTTCTTACCTAAGACAACCGTGCGGGCCTAGCCCAAAGCGGACAATATCATACTATGGTGGAGGAACAGGTGGACTATCGGGCCCTACAATTTGACATCTAACTTCTATTTTACATATCATAGCATATGCTGTGTCTCTAAATCTCTAATTACGGGAATATAGGACCTTTCTTACCTAAGACAACCAACTTTATGTTCAGATAATCCCATGTTCTTTGCAAATGATTGAGCACATCCAATCAAATGCCCATCTTCAAGGAAAATTCGAAGTGCTATTGCATCCTTGTCAAGATCCCCACTTGAAAATCCTTGATAGGCCATGTCAAAGAAGGGGAAATGATTTTTTACCTGGAAGATGATTAATGTCAGAATATTATAATTAATTTGGGGTCTGTTTGGCAAAACTTTTCAATAAACACTTATAGGAAAAGAAAATAAAAGGGAAAAATGAAATAAGTTTTCCTAAAAGCAAATATTAACTTATGCATAAACTAATTTGTAAAAATTCCCAAATATTAACTTTTTCAAAATATTTTTTATGTATTAGTTATTTAGCTTATGGATAAATTAATTTTATGTTTTCTTCTTAATTTCTTCTCATAGAAATGTTTATGGAAAAGTTTATCCAAATAGACCGTTAGGCCTATGGTACAAAGCAATTCTAATTCTAGAGCATCTCATTTTTCATTTTCACCTTGAACTGGTATGATATTTCTCTCCATTGTTCCTCATTGGGGTCAACACCAGTTGGGTTGTGGGCACATGGATGTAGCAAGAAGAAAGAACAATCTGGTGCATTCTGAAATTAGCAACACAGAAAAAACGGAAAAAGTTAAAACTACTTAATACCACTGTTGCATTGGAAAATATAGCATTGTCAAGTTATGCAGTCTTTCTGTTCAACCCTATTAATGTAGCAACAAAAAAAAAAATATAATTGTTTAACATTAAATGTTTTTGTTTTATCATGATAATATAGCTCATTAGATATGTGTGAGAGACAAAAAGCATGCAATGTGTGCCAAATCTTCTTGTCTATTCTAAATAGTAAAGTTAGTATGATCCTCAACATCATCTATAATTTTGATAAATACACTTCTAATACCTTGACATCATTTAGGAGAGCAGCAAAATCTAAACCCCTTGTGTCTGGATGGTAGTAGTGGAAGGTTTTGACTGGAATTTCAGCCTGTCTCCATATATTATGGTGACTACAGCATACAAACTTTGTGCATTAGATATTGAAAGAATGTATACGTATCTCAAAGAATAATCAAAGGGAAAAAAGGACCTACTTTGACCAGGTAGGATCTGGTAGATACATTTGAGATTCAGGATAGAAATGCCTTTGAAATTCAGCAAAAAGCCTACATGCACCTGTTCCAGACAGAGTTGGAACTCCTGCAAACAATCCTTCTCTTGCAACATACGAATCATTCCCATATGCCAATCTTACACACTCCTGAACAAATTTTGATCTGACAGCTGAAGAGTTTGATTCCCTGTGAATAAGTAATGTTAGACTCGGTTCTGACAAGTAGAATATATTCATAGAAACACTAATGTTGCTACGGTGTGGTACAAAAATTCAGGAGGGATAATTAAACAGCATGATCTGTGGAAGAGAAAATTTTAACAATTAACGAAATTAGTATTGCCAAAAATATGCAATTAACACGAAATTTTTATTTGACAGAGTTGTACCATCATGAAATCATCCTTCAAAGAACTCTTTCTACATTAAATTTTCGTTGGATGAACCAACAGATTAATTTGTAAATTGTTCTAAATGTTCTAAATTGAATCGATCGGTAGGTACTGTTTTGTAATATCAAATACTTTATGGCATCTACTTCTATCAATGCAGAAAAGCATCAAAAATCATCAGCACTAGTATTTTAAGAATGTTGTTTTCATCATATATATCCAACCATTCAAAAAACAGTTTAACTGTTTTTTATTTTAATAGTATCCCTATAGAAAGAACAGCTAAATAGAAAATTCATAATAAGTTAACAACCCACGTCGTGGTACTTGTTCAGTTGTTCCACTTCTATTTAAGATAGTAGACCAGCTAACAAAGGCACAGCACTTCAGA